AGGCCTGTTCCCAGGTGGCAGGATTGCCAACCGTGGTCCTGGCTACAGACCCAGAAACAGCCCTGTCCCATTGTGGACTCAGCGATAGTTCTGTTTGGCCTTGGTCCTGTCACCAGCACCATCTGCCAAGGGGTCCAGGAGGAGTTACGCCCACCTGTGTCTCAGGTAATAGGCCTGCTGACCTTGATACAGTCCCAGTCCCTTTCAGCCCTGGTCCAGGAGTAGCCCTACTCTGCCCAGGGACTTGCCAGAAGACACACTTGTCCACGCTCCTGGAGGCAGACCTGCTGACCTTGGTCCAACAGCAGATCTTGAAGGAGGCCTGTATCCTGGCTCCAGACCCTTGCAGCAGTGGTCCAGGAGCAGTCCTGCCCACACAAGGACCTGGGGGGAGACAGGCCCATCTGTGCTCTTGGAAGCAGACCTGCAGACGTTGGTTCTGGCTGTAGAACCCAAAGTGGACTCATGACTCAGTTACAGCTTGGCTCAGCTGCGGTCTGGGGCCAGTCCTGCCCACCAGGGACCTGTTCAGTGACCTGGCAGGTGCCCCACCTATTCAATAATCTGGTAATAGACCCACTGTGGGACCTTAAGGCCCGTTGTCCTTGCACCAGACTAATTAACCAAGGTCTTTGAGGCAGTACCATCTGCCCAGGGACCAGACAAGATCCATGCTCACCTGGGCCCTTGGTAACAGGCTGACAAACTGTGGATCTAGCAGCAGCCATGCGATTCCTTGTCATTGTCAACAACACTGTTTCTCTTTTTTCTCTGAATTCCTCCTCAGAAGCAGAGTGTCACGGTTACATTTGGAATTGTCAGGAAGAATAAAGGATGTGGCAGAAAACACCAGACACGATGGCTGGGATTACGTATTATCCCCGGGGATGTTCTCGACATAGAAGAGCACTGGCTTCTGACACACACACAAGCCATGTTAGTAAGTCACAAGGGGGAAGATAATGAGGCAGATAGGAAACAGCTAGTATGAGGCTTGTAATGACGCCTCATCAACAGCAGGAAAACGCAGTTGGGTTTAGTAGGCGAGGCCAACCACATGAAAAGGGCTTTACAGAAAACCTCAAGTAGGTGCTGCGGTGGAGGACGGCCCAGGTGGCCTGGACTGAGAGAAGGATCGAAGTGCATGGTGGGGGAGAGCTGTGACTTCTTTGGGATTTTGTGGACTGGCTCTTTGGCCTTTTTTCTCCCAGGACATTACAATCATTGGAGAAAACAAGAAAGTTGTCTGGTGGGTTCATGCTCCAAACACACCGTATTAGTTTTCCAGGACTGCTGTAACAAAGTACAACAGGCTGAGTGGCTTAACCAAGAAAAGTTTATTGGCTCACAGCTCTGGAGGGCGGAAGTCGGAGGTCAGGGTGTTTGGTAGGGTTGCTTCCTTCTGAGGGCTGTGAGGGAAGGTCCTGTTCCAGGGCTGCCTCCTTGGTTTGTGGATGGCCATTTCTCGGTCTCTTCACATTGTCTTCTCCATTTCTGTGTCCAAATTTCCCCTTTTTATAAGGACATTGTCATATTGGATTGGTGCCCATCCTAATGACCTCACTTTAATTTGATTTCCTATGTGTAGACCCTGTCTTCAAGTAAGGTCCTATTTGGAGGTACTGGGGGTTAGGACTTCAACCTATAAATTCTGGGGGAACACAGCTCAGCCCCGAACACACAGCACATTGTTTGATGGCACTGCGCCTTGCGCCTCACACCGAAGCAGGCCTAGTCACATCCTTTAACACTCATCAACCCACTTGTGAAGGTGACCCTCTGTGCTGCCTTCCCTTCCTCACTGATCTACTCATTCCTTCCATCACTGACCTTGGAATGGATGCCAATTACAGTCAGGTATCATTTCCGATGTATTAAAAATTAGCAGAAAGAGANACAGTAGATTTCACGGACTCTGTGGAGCGACTATGCTGAAAGCATTCGGAAACATCATAGTCCTCGATTGTGACCATATCTTGTATTGTCTGCAAGGTGGCTTCGGTTGTTTTCTTAACCTGGGAACAGAAACATATTTTTCACATTAGCACATTATTTCGTGAATCCCACAAACAAGCACTGAGAACCCATTCTGTCAGGCAGAGATGGGGACACAAGCCCTGCCCCAAGAATTCAGAATCTATTAGGGGAGAGACACAGATAAAGAATACCCCATGTCACCAATATAAGGAAAGGCTTTTTCAGAATTAGACTAAGGAGGACATCACTTTACATTTGAGTCCTCATAAATCTCATGTATCACTGGGTGCTCTCTCAAGTACATTTTTTTTGTTTTAAATAACATTTTTAATTGAAATAAAACTACATACAGAAAAATGCACAGCCTGTAAGTATATAGCTTTATGAATATCGCAAAAAGAACATTTATATGACCACCACTCAGATCAAGACATATGGTACATTGTGAATATCCTTGTGTTTCTCCCAACCACCACACATCCGCTTCTCCTCCCCTAAGGTAGCCACTATCCTGATTTCTAACATTATATATCAGTTTTTTCCTTTTTGTACTTCATATAAATGGAATCCAAGGATGATTTTCATCTTGCTTCTTTTGCTCAACTTTATGTAGTAAGATTTATTGATTTCTTGTATTTCATTGCTAAATATTCACTGCAAGAATACATCATAATTCATCCCTTTTACTGTTGATACGTAGATGACTTATTTCTAATTTGGGGCTATTATGAATAACACTGTTATGAGCACATTTTTGTTGGGCCACATACACATGAGCGGAATTGCTGCATAGAGGGTATGCCAGACTGTTTTCCAAAATTATTGTTCCAATTTGTCTTCCCACTGGCATGGTAGGAAAATTCCTATTACTCCAAATCTTCAAGAGTTGGTATTGTCAGCTCTTAAATTTTAAACCATTGTGTTGGCTGTATTTTGGTATCTCATTGTGGTTTCCACACACATTTCTCTGATGATTGAGACTGAACACATTATCATATGTTTAAGGCAATTTGGAATTCCTTTCTTGGAAACCCTTTGTTAAATCTCTTGCTCAACTGTAAATTGGGTTATGAGTCTTTTGTTTTTGTTTTTAGTATTTCTGAAATTTATTAGTTCAGACTCTGGAATGAGTCTTTTTATTAAAACATATTTGCAGGTGTAGATACAAGTATTTTATTAGTTATATGTGTTGCAAATATCTTTTACCACTCTGTACCCTGGCTTTTCACTTTCTATAGTGTTCGGATGAACGGTCTCATTTTCATATAATGAAATTACCAATCCTTTCCTTTATGATTATTGTTTTTTGTGCCCTTATTTAAGAAATATTTTTCCCACCTTATGGCCATAAAGATACTGTTCTATGTTATCACATAGGAGTTTTTAAACTTATCTTCCACAATTAGGTTGTACTCCACCTTTCCTTATAAAGTCTAA